CGCACGCCTTTAATCCCAGCACTCGGGAGGCAGAGCCAGGCGGATCTCTGTGAGTTCGAGGCCAGCCTGGGCTACCAAGTGAATTCCAGGAAAGGCGCAAAGCTACACAGAGAAACCCTGTCTCGAAAAAAAAAAAGTGACCTGGAGAGAGGGCTCAACAATTAGGGGCACCGGTTTGTCTTGCAAAGGACCCACGTTTGATTCTCAACACCCACGAGGTGCCTCACCACCATCTGGAACTCTAGTTCCAGTGGATCTGAAACCCTGTTCTTCATGTCCTCCCACAAATACCCATACATACACGTACCCATAAATTTAAAAATTGTAGGCCACGTATCATGGGCAAGCCTTTAACCCCAGTGCTCAGGATTCCTTTCTTGTTTCTTTTATCTTATTTGTTAAAGTTCCTTTTTAGGGGCTGGAGAGAAGGCTCGGTGATCAAGAGCATTTGCTGCTCTTGCAGAGGTCCTGGATTCTGTTTCCCGCACCCATATGGCAGCTCACAGCCATCTGTAACCGCAGGTCCAGCAGATCTGATGTCCTCTTCTGACCTCTGAGAGCACCTGGCACACGTGTGGTACACAAACACGCATGCAGGCAAAATACACACATGAAAACAAACAGAAAACTCTTCAAAATTCAAATTTCCTTGTTTGTTTATTTTATTTTATACCGAGCACCAACATCCATCTTCCTCTGCTTCCTGACTATCGACACAGTGTGCCCTGCAGCCTCAGGATTTGCCGCCACAGCTGAGAGCTGCCTTCCCACCATGACGGACTGAACCCTCAAACTGGGAGCCAAGGTCAGCTCTGCCTCCCTCCGTTTCTTTTCTTTTTTTCTTTCTTTCTATTTTTTTTTTTTTTTTTTTTGGTTTTTCGAGACAGGGTTTCTCTGTGTGGCTTTCACCTTTCCTGGATCTCACTCTGTAGCTCAGGCTGGCCTTGAACTCACAGAGATCTGCCTGGCTCTGCCTTCCGAGTGCCTGGATTAAAGGCGTGCACCACCACCGCCTGGTGCCCCTCCATTTCTTCTTGTCATGTATTCAATTGCAGCAACAGTAACTAATACATTTTCTTTTCACACTCTCCATCCTCTACCCCTGGCACTGCATCCACACAGCCCACACTTGTTCTGGGTGCTGGCCCTGTCTTCCTCCCTTTCTCAGGTCTTTGCAGATGAATCCTCGCCAGTGAAGTCTTCCCTGGCCACATTAGGAACCACGATGCCTTCTTATTATTAGCTAGTCTCTTGTGTCTCCTGCACATACACACACACACACACACACACACACACACACACACACACACACACAGAGTATATAAGATTATACTGTGCATCTCCGGCTTTCCTTGCGGGAAGGTAAACTCCCAGAGCATGGGGATTTGTCTGTCACCTGAACCTCCAGCAGCATCTCACTCCTGTCACCCACTAGGTGACCAATAAACATATGTGCCATTAAATAGTGAATCCCCTGTGTGTGCTGGAAACCAAGGAACTGAGCAGAGTCACACCTCACACATGAGCTGACCACCCTGGCCCGACTACACCTGGTGAATGATCAGTTCCTGACAAGACCAAGGTCAAGGCTAATGACCACATAGTGGGGCTGGAGAGGTGGCTCAGTGGTTAAGAGTACTGTCTGCTCTTCCAGAGGACGCAGGTTCAACTCCCAGCAACCACAACTGTCTGTAATTTCTATTCCAGGGGATTTGATACCCTCACACAGACATGCATATAGGTAAAATACAAATGATCATAAAAGTAAGTAAATCAGTTTTTAAAAAATGACTCCATGCTAATATAACCCAGCTGGGCGAGCTCATTTCCTCTGTTTCATAGTTCCCTCTCTTTCCAGATATATTGTGTGTACATTATATGTTTGGGCCTGGGTCCATGATGGTAATCCCGTAGAGACAGACCCCTGTGCTTAGGGTGTGGTCTTCTGAAGTCTGCTTCGCCTGAGCACTCAGAGCACTGTCAAAAACCTCATATTTAGTCATCACACAGTTTGTTATCAGTTACTTTTCTTATGGTCGTGACTAAGTATCTGACAAGAAGCAGATTCAGGAAGGGCAGGCTTATTTTGGTTCCCGGTTTGAGAGGAGCCCAGAACAGTGGGGAAGATTTGATTAAAAGGAACTGCTCCTTCACAACTGGATCAATCAGGTAGGGGTGTGTGTGTGTGTGTGTGTGTGTGTGTGTGTGTGTGTGTGTGTGTGTGTTATGGACATGTGTGCCATGCTGCACATGTGGAGGTCACAGGTTTCCTCCTCCCCTTTTTAACCGGGATTCAGGAATCGAACTCGGGTCACTGATCCCGTGTGCCAGATTAGCCGCATCTCACCAGCCCCTTTGTTCCTTTTTCTTCAGCCTGGGATCTCAGTGCATAGGACCACACCGCTGCAATCAGGATGGGTCTTCTCTCCTCGGTAAGAGCTTTACAGAAACACAGAGACACCCAACATACGTCTCCTAGGTGACCCCAAACCCAGTGGCTCTGATTCTACAGGAAGCAGAATTGAAGCATCATACACATTTTAAACCTAGTTTGGAGAAAATTGCTGGCAGTCCCATTCCATCCTCGGAATTTGAAAGCAGGGCACAGATTAGCCACATCGATGTCTGGCAAATGCTTCTGCTCTTTGTTTTGTTTCAGTTACAGATCCCAGTGCCACAATTCTCAAGGGGTTTGGTATCAATTATCTTACAGAAATATTTTGATGTCATTGTGGTCCATTATGATGACTATTGTCTGTTTCCAAAAACAGCCTATTTCAAAATTTCCTGGCATTACAGCAAATGTCAGCCAGAGTGATTTCTCTAATGGATAGGAAAGTTTTAGTTTTTGCTCAGCAAGTATGACAGTCAAAATAATTCCCACACTCTTCCTATTCTGTTACAACGCAGCCCCATCCCTGAATGGCAGAGCTGAGACGTTGAGCCCATCTGCAGGAATCCCCTAGTGTCAGGACACACAATCCCAACAGCTCAGCATTTCAACTGACAACTGAGAACACAACCTTGAGAAAAAATCTGAGGCTCTCTCTTGAAGAATGTCCCCCAAATAAAGTTTAAAAAGGCATAGCTAATCACTAACTGACTTCCTTAGAGAGAGCGGTTGGGTTATGAGCACTTTCTCTAAATGTCTACAGCCGCAACAGAATCAGCAAAATCAAGCTAGGCATGATGCCTTTACACCTCTAGTCCCGGCCCTTGGAAAGCAGAAGCTGGGCACCTCAAGTTCAGGCCAACCCGGGACACAGAATGATACTCTTTCAAAAGAACAACCACTACTTAAAAAAAAAAAAAAGAAAAGAAAAGAAAGAAACCCACACATTTACAGGACAAATTCAAGTTAAAAAAAACAAACAAAAAAACTCCGACCTCCAGCTTTGGACAATGCAACAAAGCTGTACTAAAATCTGTGTAGAATTCACAAAGAGAAATGAAATTGAGTCTATAAATCAACATTTCTGGAAAATTTTGCAGATCTAAGATCACTATAGAAGTTTGCATATTTGGGTCAAAGACTCACCCAAAAAAGCATAATTGCTAAAATAAACAAATAAGCAAGCCAAGTGGTGGCACACGCCTTTAATCCCAGAACTTGGGAGGCATGACAGGGAGATCTCTGTGAGTTCAAGGCCAACCTGGTCTACAAAGAAAGTTCCAGGACAGCCAGGACTGTTACACAGAGAAACCTTGTCTCAATAAATAGATAGATGGATGGATGGATGGATGGGTGGGTGGATGGATGGATGAATGAATGAATAATCCTGGCTTTCCCCTGAGTGAAATATAGGTCATGTGTGTATGTGTGGCCTGTGGATGTGCTTTTCTTTCCAGTGAGTTCATGTCAGATATTTATAGTCTTTGACTCTCAGTGAACCTGGCATCAGCCTCAGAAAGTTCCTAGTCAAGGCTCCGCCATCAATCCAGTATTCCAAGCAGTATGAAGTAAGGATGTGGAACCAGTGTGTGCCTATCTTTTTTCTCACATACAGAGATTGATTTTTTCCCCCCAGGAAGACATGTTACTTGTGACATTTTTCCTGGGGAGACACAACACAAATGTCTATTCACTCTAGATAGGGGATGGACAACAGATCAAAGGACCAATACCACCGAAGTCCAGTTTAGTGATCAGTGAGTTTATTGGGGTTAGTCACAGGAGCAGGAAGGGCGCAAAGGCAGCTGATCTCTGAGCCCGACCCGGTGTGAGTGACAGCTCATGAGAGTTGGAACCTAGAGCGCTCCGTACAACTTGCAGGCAGCTCAACAGGCCAGTAAATTTCTTCCAAGCAGGTCAGTTGCCCTGAGTCTCCTGAGCAGTCCTTAGTGATCACGCAATGTTGGGGAGGAAGGGGCCTTGTCCATCTGATCAGCTCTGGGGACTTCCTGGGATTTTTGAGATGTTTACTTTCAGAGTCTTAATAAGCCACCCCTCAGAATTTCCTGAGTCTTTATGACGTACTGAAGCTAGGGTTTTTTTTTTTTTTTTTTGAGGCAGGGTTTCTCTGTGGCCCTGGCTGTCCTGGACTCTCTTTGTAGACCAGACTGGCCTTGAACTCAGAGATCTGCCTGCCTCTGCCTTCTGAGTGCTGGGATTAAAGGTATGCACTGCCACTGTCTGGCTTATTTAATGACTTTTAAAAAATTATTCCTAATGATATACTTTTCAATTATCCACATTATTTACTCCCCTCGTTGATATCATTTCAGTGACATTTTTCTGGAGACGATAATTCTGTGTAGACAACAGAAGCTTCTCCATGCCTCTTTGTGTGTGTACGAGTGTGACAGGATCTCATGTGGCCCAGGATGGCTTTGACTTGCTTTGTAGCTGAGCATGCCTTTGTACTTTCTTCTTCTTAATCTTCTTCTTCTTCTTCTTCTTCTCCTCCTCCTCCTCCCCCCCCTTCCTCCTCCTCCTCCTCCTCCTTCTTTTTCAAGGCAGGGTTTCTCTATGTAGCCTTGGCTGGCCTCGAACTCACAGAGATCTGCCTGCCTCTGCCTCCTGAGTGCTGGGATTAAAGCCCTACACCACCATGCCCGGCATGCAAACATACTTTTTAAAAACCCCTTCTGGGGTTAGAGAAAAGGCTCGGTGGTTAAGAGCACTGACTATTCTTGCCGAGGACCCTGATTCAATTCCCAGACTCTGTATGGTGGCTCATGATCATCTGTCCTCCAGTTCCAGATGTGACACCTGTCCTGGTTTCTGTGGGCACTGCATGCACTTGGTGTACACACACACACACACACACACACACACACACACACACACACACACACTTCTTTAGAGAGTCCTTCATAAGAAAAACACACAAAAATGTACAGAGATGCAAATTTCTCTTTAGTGTTTCTCTAAAGTGTTTTATGTTTTTCTGTGCTGGGACTAATGGTGATCTACATGGTAGGGAAGTTTTCTCCCACTGAGCTACATGCCCAGCCCAAAGCTGTGTGTTGTTTAGTGGTTTACACAGGCAGGTGGTACACGTTCTTCACTGTAAGAAGTCACCTTCCTGCTGCTCACCGGCCTTCCCACAGCTATCGGGTGATTTTCACTTCTCTGAGTCCAAGTTGTGATCCATCACTCCACCCATTCACAAGCTCTTCCTCCGCCGGAAGCACTCGACTGGCATTTTTTCGGACCAGCGTCAGTCTTTCGCTAGGTTAGACTCACTGTGTGAAGCTTCCTGTTTGGCCCACTTCCTCCAGTCCAGGGACATCAGGTTCCTTTGCACAACTCCCACAGTGCTCAGGGGTCTCCTATTCGGTTACTTGGCATAATGTATGGGCACACTTTCCTCTCCTACCAGTCTCCCTGTGGGCCTTGAGGGCAAGGACCATGTTTCATGTTTATAGCCTCATCACTTGATTCGGTACCTGACTGAATCCACATGCTCATAAAGAGTGAATAAAATGTGAATTCTCCCACTTACTACATTTATTTCACATTTCTTTTTTTTTTGTTTTGTCTTTTTCGAGACAGGGTTTCACTGTAGTTTTGGTGTCTGTTCTGGATCTCACTCTGTAGACCAGGCTGTCCTCGAACTCACAGAGATCTGCCTGCCTCTGCCTCCTGAGTGCTGGGATTAAAGGCGCGTGCCACCACCACCCAGCTCACATTTCTTTTGCTCGTTTGTTTTAGTTTTATGAGACAGTGTTTCGCTGTGTAATTCTGGCTGTCCTGGAACTCACTCTGTAGAGCAGGTTGGCCTTGAACTCAGAAGTCTGCTTCTGCCTCGGGAGTGCTGAGATTAAAGATATGCGCCACTACCGCCTGGCTATTCCTTAGCTGTTTCAACATTTTCCTCATCCCCTTTGGGTATTAATGACCCCTCAAACTACAGACAAACTGATCATGAGGAACTCAGGAAACAACATTGGTTTTAAAATCTGTACAATACTCTGTGAGTTCAAGGCCAGCCTGGTCTCCAAATCGAGTTCCAGGAAAGGCACAAAGCTACACAGAGAAACCCTGTCTCGAAAAACCAATAAATAAAAATAAATAAATAAATAAATAAATAAATAAATAAAATAAAATAAAATCTGTACAATGGAGCTGGTGACATCGCTCTTACTTGATTCTGAGACCAAGAATTCCACACAGCGGAATACTATTTAGCAATAAATAGTGTTAAACTACTGATAAATGCAACATGCTTGAATCTCAAAAACCACTAAGCAAAATAAAAAGTCACGGGGTAAAAAAGCACATAAATTGTATGGTGCTGCTTACCTGCAATTAAACAACTATATTTTTATAGAAATCAGGCTACTGAGAATGGGGTTGGGGGTGGGAGTAGGGTGGGGAGGTGGGGGGGGGTAATAGTTTATTGTTAGACCACATCTCTAGCATACACCATGCCTTGGACTCAATTCCCTAGAAATTTTGCTTTGTTTGTTTAAAGAAAAAAAAAAAGGAGAGACGAAAGAAAGGAAAAAGAAATTAGAATATTTCATGAATCTGGAGGGAGAGTGGATCAACTAGAAGGAAGTTCCGGGAATCTTGGGGGAGGGAACATTCTGTATCTTGTCTGCCCAGATTGGTTATAAAGCTTAGTGTTCGTACACTTATGGTCTGTACACTAACAAGGATTCTTGAAACTCTCAATCTATATACGTGCATATACACAGAGGCATGCTAACAGGTACACACACACTGCATTCCACTAACGTGCATTGGTGTTTTGTCTCCTGAAACTGGCATCACAAACAGCTGTGAGCTGCCATGTGGGTGTTGGGAATTGAACTGAGGACCTCTGGAAGAGCAGTCAGTGCTCTTAGCCTCTGAGCCATCTCTCCAGCCCCCTATTTTTATTTTCTTAACTCTTAGGCTAATACTAGTATCATTTTGGTTACACTCAACCCAAATCAACTAAAGTAAGTAATATATTAAAAAACGGAAAAATTGGGCCAGATGTGGTGGTGCCCATCTGTAACCTCAACACCCAGGAGGTGGAAACAGGCACATCTCTCTGAATTCCAGGCCAGCCATGGCAAAAGAATGAGACTCTATCTCAAAATCAAAGAAAAACTGCTTTGGGAATAACACTTTGCTATGCCTAAGATAAAAGTTAATTAAAAGTAACTGTACATAATTTGGTCACAGATATGAAAATTTGCTCAATAATTGAAGTCTCTTAGTAACCCCCTAGCTAACTAGATCAGTCACGTTTTTCACACACCCTGAGATAGGGTCTCAATGTCTTCGAGTTAAACGTTTGTCTTCTAGCATGGATTAATGGGATCTCAAACAACCGAACCTAACCCTAGCTGTACACATTATTGATTGGATTTTACTGAGTTTATTATTGGGACTCGCAGGATATGGTGGTTTTCAGAGTTCATAAATATTCAAGGATGAGGCTTGGCACCAAGCAGAAGCTGATGGAAGTGAGACCACTCCAGTCAGGCGGACAGTGGCTGTCGTGAGGCTGTGTGCTGCCATTTCCTCAACTCTGTCCCAACAGTCCTCGGTCCGGAATAAAGATCTACAGCCTCCGGGTGTAGAAGCACACCGAGAGTCTGGCTTCTTGTTTTCCTGATGGTGGGGACTACCTCCCCAAGAATGCATACTAGGGACAGGAATCATTATATCCAAAATTAAGTGAGGCGCTATTGCATAGGAGGGATGGATCGGAATAGCAATTATAAAAACAATGTCCACCTCTCAAAGCTCTCATCTACCATTGGAATATTTTCAACATCCAATTCGGCTCTGGCAATAAGTTGATTGATCTAATGACTAGGAATACTGCTTCCAGTGTAATGACTGACTAAATGCCTTCATCTACAGCCGGGGAGGTGGTCAGGATGGGAGGAACAGTAAGGGTGATGGGAGTGAAAATAACCAGAGTATTGTCACCACACGTGCCTGCCTGAAGAAAATGTCAGAAGGAAACCTGACGTTTTGCACAATTAATACACACTACACAGGTTCAAACTACGGGTACGTGTTCTGGTGAGCACCGCCTCAGGCCGCGCCCCCGTCTCTCTCTCCCCAAACCCCGCAGAGAACACCGAGGTGAGGTTTGGGTTGGGTTGGGAGACAAGTGTCTTGCTCCCGCCTCCGGGAGGCCGGCCTTAGGAGCATGCGCAGCATGCCGGGCTGTCCGAGGTTTTAGCTGACCGACGGGCGTGCGGTTTAACCACGTCGGGGGGGAAACGTGGCAAACGCACCGCTCTGTCCGCCCGAAACTACTCGCCTACGCGACCCGGCAGACCCCAGCAACGCGAAGGAGCCCCGCGCCGCGGGACGCACGTGAGTCCCGGCGGGGAGGCGGAGCTCCGCCCCCTACGCCCCACGACGCACCAGCCTGCGTCGGCACGCTCTACGGAAGTGGCGTCCGGCTGGACGCCCGCGGGGGGGGGGCGGGCTTGTCCGGGCTGTCTAACGTGGTGCCTGTACGAGTCTGTGTTAGCCGGCTGCCTCTCGTCTGCGCCGAGGGGAGCCTCCTCACAAGGTCTGTCTCTCGGCGATCAGAGAAGCGCGCTTCTCTCGCGGGGCCGGCGTTCTGTCTTCAGGCGGCGCCACGGGCAGCCCGCGGTCCTTGTAAGAGCGCGCGGCCCCGCCCCCTTCCCTTTCGGCCGCGGCAGCCATCTTCCAGGTCGGTGCGCGCGTGGCTCTCGGGTCCATGCGCGTTTTACGCGCTGCACGGGGGGCTCGGGCCGCGGAGGCTGCGTGCTGGGGTCGCGGGGGGGCTGTCGAGGGGCCGCCGGCCTGAGGGCCGGGGGCCGGGGAGGCCTGGGGGCCGGGGCTTTCATCCGGAGAGGCCGGGCCTGTCTTAGTGCTCGTAGCCGGGCGCCCGCCCAGCCCCGACCATGAGCGACTCAAAAGTCGGCGTGGTTCCTCGCGAGGCCTGGGTGTGTGCAGGCCTGGACTGGGCTCTGGCGAGGAGAGTGCCCTCCGAGTCGGTCGGCCTGGGTAATGCGGTAAAGGAGATCCCTCTTCGGGTTGCGTGGAACGGTTCGTGATGTGCAAATTCGGGGCCTAGAAGACGAGCGTAGGCAGGGGTGCGTGGAACGGTTCGTAATTTGCAGATTTGGGGCCTAGAAGCCGAGCGTAGGCAGGGACGGTAAGGTGAAGGCTGCCGCACCAATGCTTAAGATAGGAGCACGTTGGTTACTTACAACACCGTGCTTTAGGGGTCCCCACGTGGTTCTGAGTAGTGGCCAGGAGTGGCGGGTAGTTCTGCCCTGGACGAACGGAGCGATCCAAACCCTGTTGGTCTGTTGGAAAACAAGTACTGGTTCTAAATACCTGTAGCAGGTAAGCTCTTAGATGGTGCTTTATTAGCTGCCAAGAGTCACTCGGGGCTCTATGTAGATTTTACAGTGGCTGTTTATAAAAATGGAAAGGCCATTTACAGGCAGGAATGTCAGCTTAAGTAGGCCTTTGTAGCAAGAATCGTCGAGGCTTATGTCAGATTTTCCAGGGATTGATTCTCTCTACACACTTCCTAATACCTTAGCAAATGGAAGAGTGTCTTAACTCCACGATTCCATTTGCTAAGTTGACCGAGAATTCGGTTAATAATGAAAGGAAACTAACAGCATCAAAGTGCAGGCTGAGTTCTATGGTCTCCAACCACAAAGTTATCCTGAAGTTGGGAGTTGCAATGTCCTTGGCATTTTAGACTATTCTGCTTGTAGATAGGATGGTAGTATACGTCAGTGTGTTCTGTATTCTGATAGAAAGGTGTTTTGGTTTGAAGTTAACAACCAGTCCTGCTGGTTTTAATGACAGAATTTGGTCTCTGTAGCTAAACTCCTTTTTTAAAAAAAGACAGTTTTCTATTTAAGTCTTTAAGTGGAATCATGGGCACCCATTTACAATCCCAGCACTTTGAGGCTTGGGCAGGAAGGTACTGAGTTTGAGCGAGCCTGGTCTGTGACAAGATGACATTAGGGGGTGTGTGTGTGTGGTGATCCAGCTTTTTATATTGTTTCCTGATTAGTTTTAAGGGGATAGTTGCTAACATTAAATGAACTTGTTATTTGATGGCTGACTTTTCTGGTTTCAGTAACTCGCCAGAATGACGAACACAAAGGGAAAGAGGAGGGGGACCCGCTATATGTTCTCCAGGCCTTTTAGGAAGCATGGTAAGTGGCGTGATCCTCCTTGATAATGTGTTTCTATTGATCTGTGGTTAACAGCTTTTACCTGCACTGTGTCAGAAGCAAAAGCATGGATCTCGTGGTCTCATAACTTGAGTGTCTGCAGGCTTAGCACTGGGAAGAAGTGTCAGACCGTTAGTCTTAGACTGGCTTTGCTTATAAGGAGAAATTGACCATTATACCTAATGTAACTGCCAAAGAGTTGTGCTTTGTGTTGAAAACTAGTACCTTATGAAAGTACCGTGGGGATCTAGACATCGTCTTGATTTTCTTTTACAGGAGTTGTTCCTTTGGCCACTTACATGCGAATCTACAAGAAAGGTGATATTGTAGACATCAAGGTAAGTTAGAGTGGAGGAAAGATCAGCATTAGAAGTTAGGTGCTAGCTGGATGTTGGTGGCACACGACTTTAATCCCAGCCCCTAGGAGGCAGTGGTGGGTTTGAGGTCAGTCTGGTCTACAGAGCCCAGGTTGAGGACCAGCCAGGGCTATGTAGAAACCCTGTCTTGAAAAAACAAAAACTCGAGAATGCTGGTTTCAATCTCAGCACTCAGGGTGAAGAGGCAGGTGAATTTCTTGAGATCAAGGCCAGCTGGACCTGTGCAGTTAGACCCTGTCTCAAAGATAATAAAATTTGTTGTTAAAGATGGAGTTGCTTTTAATGAAAGCCCCAGTGAAGGCTACACTCTTGGGGTAGTTGAATATATTCTGGCACTCTGGAACTTAATGATGATTGTCTATTTGATTGCTTGATGCAATGTGAAAACCACATTTCACCGGCTCTGAGAGTTCTTGAGTTGCCATTTAAAGGGAGCCTTGGTTACTTAAAAGAATTTGGAAAGAGGACTTGCTGGAATAATACTTTGTCTCTTGCCTAGGGAATGGGCACTGTTCAAAAAGGAATGCCTCATAAGTGTTACCATGGCAAAACCGGAAGAGTCTACAATGTCACCCAGCATGCCGTGGGCATCATTGTAAACAAGCAAGTTAAGTAAGTGAAATGCTGCAGATGTGATGAAGTCGTCGTCACACACCCCCTTTCACTTTGCCAATTGGACTTCATGTCTTCATTGGCCATTCAAGTGGGGCAAAGGAAATAACCTTTTAAAACTCAGGCAAACTTAAGTGTTTGTCTTGTAACCTGTCAGGGGAAACATTGACGTTCACTGGGAAGTCTGGTGGAATGGTTGGTGCTGGTGTGTCGGTAACATTAAAAGTTCATTACAAGCTTCATTAGCCGGGTTTGCCTAAGTTGCTGTTGTTTCAGGGCTGTGTTCATCAGAAAAGTAGCTTTGAAGTGTGCTCTCGGGCCTCTTCCTTTGGGTAAGGATGATTGACGTAAGCATGAGAGCAATGTTAACTTACTAGATAATAGTTGTCAGAACGGTGTGCGTTTGTGTTGGGTTTTGAATGAAGCATTTAGGAAATTTATTGGTCTTTCTAGGGGCAAGATTCTTGCCAAGAGAATTAACGTGCGGATTGAGCACATCAAGCACTCTAAGAGCCGAGACAGCTTCCTCAAGCGGGTGAAGGAGAACGACCAGAAGAAAAAGGAAGCCAAGGAGAAGGGCACCTGGGTTCAGCTGAAGCGCCAGGTGAGAGCCCGACCAGGCAGTGTGTATTGCTATTGATTCGTGAGGAATTGTGAAAACTTGACTCACTTAACTTTTTTTTTTTAAGTTTGAGAATTGAGTATTCGTTAGTTACAAAGAGAACTTTAAGGTTTCCCATAATCCTTTTCTTTCTTTCCAGCCCGCCCCACCCAGAGAAGCACACTTTGTGAGGACTAACGGGAAGGAGCCTGAGCTGCTGGAGCCCATTCCATACGAATTCATGGCCTAATGTACAAAAAGAAATAAAAGACCTGGACTGTAAAGGGCGTTTCTTACGTTGAAGTGTGTCGTCTTTCCTTCCTGAAAGAAAATGTTGAAGCAGATTTTAATTGTGCTGGATCGTTGTGTCTTGTTTGTTTTTTTGTTTTCTTTTTTGAGACAGGGTTTCTTGGTGTAGGTTTTGTGCCTTTCCTGGAACTCACTCTGTAGACCAGGCTGGCCTTTAACTCACAGAGATCCTCCTGCCTTTGCCTCCCGAGTGTTGGGATTAAAGGCGTGCGCCACCACTGCCCAGCTCATTGTGTCTTTTCTATTCAACTTTTTCCTGTTAAGTAATACAACTTAGTGTGCAAAGCACACACTCTTGGTTAGAAAAATGGTCAGATAGTTGTTCTAAATCACCAGAGGGAAAGACCTAGTGGTCAGGCTTGGTGGTGCTACTCTAATCCTTGCATTTGGAGGTTGAGGCAGGAGGGTCTTCAAGAACAGCTTGGGGCACATGGCATGACGCTATACAAAGTGGGGGGTATTGGGGAGGTCAAGTCAGGTGTGGTCCCCTGATGGTGTCTTGTAGCTGTATCCTCCAAAGGGGTAGACAAAGCTTAAGCCAGAAGGAGCGGGGTGGGAGTGTGGCCCTAGACAGGTGGTGCTGTTGGTGAAGAAAGCCCTGGTCTAACTCCCCCAAAGCCTCCTTTGTGTCCTTTCGGGGCTTTGAAGGGTCACATTAAAGCCATGGTATTCAGCTCATGTGCAGCAGAGTCATGTGTCATTGACCCCGTTTAAATATTAGAAATGGCCCAGCCTCCATCTTGGGAACAAAATCTTACTGGCCCTTGACAGGCCTGGTCAGTTTGTTCTTTGCCCTGGGTTCTGTCCGGGTTCACCTTTCTCTAAGGCCCATATGGGCAGTGCTTCTGTTGTAGCCCAGCAAGCCTGGGGTGCGCTCTGCAGTGCCAGATAGTGGTGGTTAATGGCATTTATTCTGGTGCTTAGTGTGGCAGCATGTATTGGAGTTGGACAGTGAAGAGGAAGGTAAGATGAAACCCGCTGCTTCGTTATGGTTAACTTCAAATCTGTTCTGGAAGTGGCGCTGCTTTTAAACCATATGTGAAGTGCCCGTTCCTAACCACAAGCAGTGGAGCTAGCATCGTTCTTGCTGCTGTGTGATTCTAGTTCATTAACTGCTAGTGAGCTGTGAACACGTGTGGGTGTGTCAGATACACAGTTGAGTTCATGGGACCACCACCTTCCGTCTTGTCCGAGGACCCCAATCCCTAGTCGTGGGGATTCTGTCTGAATTATTTACACCTTCAACCCTTAGTGATGGTTTTTAAGACAAGTGGTTAGTTCAGCAACTGCCAGGGTTCCTGCCTTGGGAAACAGGGTTCTGCTCTGGTCTTGTGGTGGTCTTCTCCTGGGCCCATGGGTACTGTGTTACACCTGGGGACTTGTTTCTCTTCAGAGCTTTCCAGCAGAGGGCCAGTTTCTGTTAAGACACTTTGAGCCCTTGTGTTGTCGGCTACTGAGTTTGGTTTCTTTGAATGCAGAATAGCTCCCCAGCATCCAAATCCAAGCAAAATACTTAAGCCTAGTTCCCAGCTGGCTGCTGTGGCACCTGCATACCTTTCCGGGGTGCGCTGGGCAGCATGGGTGGGTGAAGAAAGAAGGCACTCTGAGATGGAGTTTGTGAGCAAAGTCTTGGGATGGATGCAATGCTCCTTCAGTAAAAACAGTTGTACAAATCAGGGAAAACAGTCGCTGTTTTCCGTAAGGATTCTTCAAGGTCAAAGTACTTATAAAAAATAACTGTCCACTCTAATATCTACCCAGGATACAGTGACTGCTGAATTCTGTAACACAGAAGCAGGCAGATACTAAGTCCAAGGCTAGCCAGGACTGCATAGTGACACCCTGTCCCCAAAAACTCTAGTTCTCAAACATTTCCTCCTCCAACCAGGACTTTGGTTCCTGTAGTGGGAACACAAGACAACGGTTTACCTAGACAGAGCCCCGTAGTAGGGTTTTTGTTTTTGTTTTTTTTGAGACAGGGTTTCTCTGTGTAGTTTTGGATCTCACTCTAGACCAGGCTGGCCTCGAACTCACAGAGATCCGCCTGCCTCTGCCTCCCGAGTGCTGGGATTAAAGG